ATAATGGGTTAAATGATAAGATTATGAATAAAAAAGAACTTCCTATTCTAACTTAGATCAATACTCTTTTAATTGACATTTTTCACACTTTATAGCCTTTTAATGATTTTTTTCTGCTATAATCTTTTTAAAATACATACATCAATAAATGTAATTGCCAGTAATGCTAAACATAGGCAAATAAAAGGTAATAAAACATTAGTATAAATTTTCTGATATTAATATATGCGCTAAAACTAGTTATTAAAAATCTACACAAATTTCGGAATATTATACATCACAGTTCGGTTGCGTTAAAATTAAAATTCAAGTATTTAACTTCGTCAGGTAACACTGCTGAGGGTAAGTTATGTTGTTTTTATTGTTTGAGAAAGTGACTTATTCATTTAACTGTTTAAATGATTTATTTCATTTGCTTAATTTTAATAGACTAATATTTATCAAATGACTGTAACAATTGGGAAAAATACGAAACATAATTTGGTCAAAATTTTAATGTTGTCACATGAGTAATAAAATGACGCGTTATTCCCAAACTCTTGTTTGAGGTAATCCAAATATTATGACTCTCATCATATAAACATGTTCACGTGTTTAACTTATTTGTACAGCTAACTTCTTTTGTTAAATTATGAAGATTTATACAGTGTTTATTAAATACTTATGCTATCAAATCATTCTCTCATCTTTCGAGAATAAACACTTTGAATTTGCATATTCATTAAGTTGTATCTAATGTATTCGATTTAATGGATATAAAAAATTCATTTCATTCCTTTATTTAATGCGCAATGAACTCCCGCCTGGAACTAACAAGAAATTGCTTGTTGTAGACGCATCAGTAACTATTAAAAATATTTTCCTCAAACCGTTAAATAAACCTTAATAAAAATTTAACTTAGCAAATTAATTGTTTAATTCCATTCGTTCCTTTAGTACATATATTTTTAAGCCTTAGTCCTATAACGCAATACTGCGCCAATTATAAATAATCCCCATTTTTATTAATTTTCTATAATTTCTTAACTTTTATAAATTATTACGATAATATATTATCTTTCTTTCTTATTTATATTTATTTCTTATTTTCTTTACTTGATTAAATATTTATTTTCTATTGATGCATTTTATTATCTTTGCTCTAATAAACTGCAGAGTTCAATACAAGTCTCTAATAAATCAATAATATTATCTTTTAACAATTAATCAATTGCTCATTTATAAATTCATCATTCTTTGAATCTATATGATCTGACCCTTCAATATAATTAATTAATTCGTGTTTATTTCTTTTAACTTAACATAAACACCCTTTTCGCAAATGCTATCTGTTAACTTAGCGACATACTGTTTAAGCCTTTTTATTACACTATTGTTGGACATTGTTATAAATTATAAGAAATAAATATTTTTAATTAAAATTTTATGGTCTTTTTTTAAGATTATTGTTATATACATTTCCAATAACAATATTATATGTTCATTAAATATGCTTCATGGCTAAAATGCCTTCTGAACAATAAGCCTTTGATAATAATTGCTACAAAATGGTGGGATTTAGCTTAGGATAAAAGCATGTTGACAAGAAAATCGTATCTATCCATATAGAACGTCGAAAATTTATTATATACATTAATTACGCTTTATATGTTTATCATAGTTTAACTCACCCTAAACTCCACGAATGGACTTTAAATTTTATAAGAAAGAATAATTTCCTAAGCTTACAGTTTACTAACAATTTTCTGTAATCATCGAACAATAATCTATATAAGTGACAATCACAATATGTAATTCTTAATTTTGAAGGTGACAGCAGGTTTTACTTTATATTCGCGAAAAAAAAGAATATTCGAAACTAATTAATCATTTGGTTTGGTTTGTTCATATGATTAGAAAAAATTGAGGACAACATTTACTTACTAAGATTTTTCAAAAACTATTGCTTTTATCAATTAGAATAGAAATGATCTTTAAATAAAATTATAAGTACAAAATATAGCTCACATATTATAATCTTAAACTAACTTTATCATTTTGCGTCGCCTACGTTTTTGGTACTAAACTTTAGTTTTCAGTATTTGGTAATATAGTTATTTTATTTATGAAATCATTTGTAAAGTTTATTTGTGCTTCATTCTAAGAAAAATATAGAAATATTTACTAATATAAATATAATCAAATCAGGGAAAGTTGAAATTGGAAGATAATGAATCAAATTGGTTGAATCTATGGATGGAACAATAGAAAAGTACTAATAAGGCCAAACCGGTTTATAATAGATATTTGTATAAGGCGACGTAATAGCCTCGAGTTATATAGTAAAAATAATGAAAACAAATTAGACTTATTAAAATTAAACTTTGATTTTTAGTAAATCGGTCTTATAGAAGAAAAATAGAATATATTTGACCGGACCAGTTTGTTCAGATAATTTAACTGAACCGTTTTAGCGACATTATTTACCGAATACAGTCATTTAACGTTCAAGGTCATTCACCAACAGAATTTTTTTAACCTGTAGTACATCCACGATCAAATAAATTATTTTTATTTTTATTTTATTTGTTATTTATTTTTTTTTATTTAATTAATTATCTATTTCTAAAATGGAGAAATTACTCATGTAAACAAGTATAAATTAATTTTGAATGTTTGTAAGACTGTTTGCAGAATAATAATCAGGGAAGGAGGAAGAAATTTCACTAAACACATTCTATATTTAAGCATTTGTATTATATTTAGTGCTTCTTATGCTAACATGAATTGAATAAAATTAGTAAAATATAAAAAAAAATTTATGATTTCTATGAAAGATTGTCAGTGTCGGTTTGACTGACTTATGAACAAATTTGGTTCAAGAGGATTCAGTCCAGATCTTGACCGTACCGATTCATTCCTAGTCAAAATGAATCAATATCAATGTAAGTATCTCCTGCCGCTTCACAATTTATACAAATTTATGAATATTTAATTTAAATTATTCAAGTACATTGCTGTATAATGATTTAACGCAGTCTCATATCTAAAAAATAAGTTCATGTTAATAAATTATAATATATTTCATCGTTTCGATTTAAATTGCATAAGATTTGATTCTAACTTTAATTATGTAATTATGAGTGCATTCGTATTACATGGGTAGTAAATTCTTTTTTTTGTACGCTAATTGATTTATTTAGATCTAAGCGGTTTTTTTTTATAAATAAATTTATACAATGGATTTTATGGTCGGTCAGTTTGCTATTTAAATTAAATCACAATTATATAAATGAAATGAAATGTAAAAATCCTTGGCTAATTGTTGTTCATACCCTTATTTCATTTTTACCTTTGTCAAAATTTGATTTTCAATTCATACACTAGTTAATATTCCGTAAGTGTATTCATCGAGATACAACTTAGATTTCCTTTGGAAGGAATGATATATTTCGGATGATTTCATCAAATTGATAACAACAAATTAATTTCAAAAAAAATTTGCGTCAAATTATCATTCACGACAATAATTCATCTTCATTCATTTGGATCGAAATTAATATGAAATTCAATCAAAACAAGAAGTTATCCGATAGTTAATTTAATTGAAACAAAATTATCATAAGCTTGTCATAAATTTTTATTTCATTGATATATCTCTATCTGAAGTAAGTACTAAGTCATATAATGAAAAATAACTTTGTGTGATTGGGATTAGATTGGGATTGAGATTCCGTTTCACAATTAATCTGACGGTATATTTAATTTCAATCATGAGTAGATTGAAATTAATGAAGACTCACAATATGTCAGAATACCAACATCCCAGATTGGCGTTGAATTAAACCACATGCAAATGTATTGTTGTTGAATACTTATTTGGAATCAGAATAAAATTACTTTTTTAATTGTTATGCATTTTTTAAAAATTCATTTTACTAGTATATAGGTTTATATCACGAAATTTAAAGATTGCTCTAATCTTAGCTCATAAATCATGAACTGATTGATAAATTTGCTTAAATAAATTAATTTTTATCGAACTTGGTATAAGAAATAATATGGGACGTGATTTAAGAATAACAAATTTTGGATTCATTAGATTTATTGCATTTTAAAATTTAATAAGGTATTAATTTTAGAACCTCACTTTTCTTTGATTACAACCCACATAATAAGAATAATTTATAAAAAATAAATTAATAATAATAATAATAATAATAACCTATCTTATAAACTTATCGCCTTTCTCATACAATTTTTTACCCTTCAGAAGCTGTTTTATACAAATCAAATGCCTTTTTTTTATCTTCAACTACAATTCCATGCTCATAATAATATCCAACTTTATATTGAGCCTCCAAATTTCCTTGATTAGCCGAGTTCTTAAAAAATTCAAATGCTCTAATAAAATTTTTATGAACACCACCTTTTCCTGTTTCATAAATTTCACCTAAATTATATAATGCAACTTTATTATTATCATCAATTGCAGCTTTGTGATACCAATAATTAACTCTATCCAAATCATTCGTTAATTTATTATATGAGATTTTGTGTACATCAAAATCTTTTGTTCCTGTTGTCTCGTTATATAATTCAAATCCTTTCCCTTTATTAATTTCTGTTCCGATTCCATTTATGTAAAAATATCCAAGACAAAATTTTGCATCTAAATCTTCTTGATTAGCAGCTTTTTGATAATAATAAAAAGCTGTCGACACATCCTTTTCAATACCATTACCTAATTCATATTGTTCACCCAAATTACACTGTCCAGCCTTATTTCCATGCCTTTGATTGCCAGTAAAATGCCTTTTTTAAATCCTTGTTTATAGTCTCATATAAACAGCCAAGATTAACTTGTGCATAAACACTTCTATTTTCAGCTGCTTTTTGATACCAGTAAAAGACCTTTTTAAAATCCTTTTCTATACCCTCGTCAGATGTATATAAATAAGCAAGAACAAATTGTGCATTGATATTTCCACTTTCAGCTGCTTTTTTAATAAAAAAAATTTCTAAGGAATTAAAAATTGGATTGGAATAAATAGATTTTTTAAGAAGTTTGATAAACTTGCAAATACTAAACTTTTATCTGTAGTAGTTAATTTAACACATATAATGAAATCAAGATATCTGATCTTCTCTTCTAATTCAACATTAATTGCTTGCTTGGCTTTGACTGCTTCTTCTTGTTTTCTAATATTTTCTTCTAAATTATTAATAGTTTCTTGCTTGGTATTGGCGGTTTCTTCATATTTTCTAACCTTTTCTTCTAAATTACCAATAATTTTGATTTCTCGCTCTCTAACAACTTTTTGTAAACCATTAATAATTTCTTGCTTGACTTTGAATACTATTTCTTGTATTCTGACCTTTTCTTTTATTTCACTAATAGTTTTTTGCATGGTTTTGATTACTTTTTCATATCTTTTAACCTTTTCTTCTAAAATACTAATAGTTTTTTGCTTGGCTTTGACGACTTCTTCTTTTTTTCTAACATTTTCTTCTAAATTACTGATAGATTCTTTCTTGAATTTGGTTTCTTTTTCAATTTTTTCTTCTAAATTACTAATAATTTTTTGCTTGGTATTGTTCTCTTCTTCTCGCTCTTTAATCTTTTCTTCTAAATGGTTTATCTTTGAAAGTAACCCCTCGTTACATAGTTCTAATTCTTTATTTTTCTTTTCCAATGCTTTTGGTTTTTTTACTAAAACCATTTTTTGGATTAACTTATTCGAATTTTTGCATTTTCTTTTGTCTTTTCTTGTCACCAATAGAAACCCTAGCCCGTCGATTTCATATGAAATTCTTTTCATAAATAATCTAGCCTTCCCAGATAATTTAAAAAATTTAACCGGTTCTTATTGTCTTACCAAATAAAGTTAACTAATTTTTATAAATTAATATTTCAATGGTTACTAGCACCTATGATAAAAAATTATTCTGAATTATGTGTAACTATCTAATAATAAAATTAGCCCGTTAGCATCTAAATAGGAAGGGAGGAGGAAAACTGGTATGGTACGGTTCGGCTGATCAGTACAGTACGATCATGCAGATCGGTACGATCCTCCAAATTTTGATCGTACTATAATATTATTGAGACCAGTACAGTACGATCAAAATTTGGAAAAGTATCGTACTGTACTGTACTAGCCCTAATAATATTATACGTCACCGGACATGTCGCATGTCGATCATAGCAAATGTTATTAATATAGATGTCGATCATTTGATCAAACAAAATTTTATATGATTTTATGCCTTTTTTTTTACTTCGTGATATGTAAATTGTATTACATTTCTAACCAAATCGAACAGTTATTACATCAAAATGTTCGTTAACTTCTCGCGAAAATTTTTATAAACTTTTAAAAGTGAACGGTTCAGCCAGTTTAAGAAGATCTTGTTGGAAAAATTATATATTATTTGATATATTTATTATATAAATAATCGAAACTTTTTAAAATTCCTTTTTTTATGTCTATTTAATACTTTTCAACTATTTTTATTTAATTTTAAACA